CTATATATATATATATATATATATATATATAGTATATATACTTATATNTATATATATTCTACTATAAATACTNTAATTATATATATATCCTACCTATATATATATATAGTCCCACCATATAAAATCCTATAAATCACATAAAACGGGTGTGAATTGTTAAAATTACTATAATTGCCCCTTCAATTATTCAATGTTCATAAAATTAGTGAGGCCATTTTTGTCATTAGAAAATTGTTGATATTTTTACTAAAAGACAAGGTAATTATGGAGTGAACCTTGAGGTACTTTATTATATAAAGGCCCTTGTCATTTAAAGAATATTTCAAATATGCTATTCTCGTATGCCTTTTGTCTTTTAGTGCAAATATCAACCCTTTATCATGACCAAAGTAGTAATGGAATAAAGAAGGGGCCAACTAAAGCGATCTTGGAATTACACGCCCCTATCTATATGTAACCTATATACATGCTCTAGGAGTTTGTCATTTTATATACATACCAATGTTCAAGAAGACTGCTTTCTTTTTTCTTTTCTTTTTTTGGAGTGGGGGTGAAGAGAGGGGATGGGGAGGTTGGTTTCAAACTTCAAACGTATTTATCTATTAACTAAAATTAACATGTCTGAAAAACTAACAATTTGAAATTGCCCAAAATTTTAGATCTACTAACCATATACGCCAAAATAAAAAGTCACATAATATAAATTTACATCATATTTCAAACATATTTTAAAAGTCCAAAAGTTAAAGCTCATAACATTCCAAAGTTCCAAAGTCTCAAAACATTGCATAAATTTGCATCCAATAGCATAAAAATTACAAACAAAGCTGAAATATGAAAACCTAAAAATAAATATAAAACCAAACTCCAAAATTAGACATATGAAAATGATAAGAAAACATAACACATTCTTTAAATTTACTAAGCACTCGAAAACTAATTGAAGTAGGCTTGAATCAGCCACTTTCAGTTGCCAAAAGCTCTAGTTTGCAACCTCTTTAATCCCCAAAAAGTTCCGATTGAATGCCTTTGTATTTCACAAACTTCGAACTCAATGCTTTAAAAAAACAATTGAGCTAAAAAAATTGTTTATAGGGCACAATTGAAGTTGTCTACGGTTTTGTGGACCAAAATACCTATTGCCCCCCAAATACTACATCCCCCTTTTCAAGGGGAGAAAATGGCTTTTTTTGCCCTTTTGGCCAGGGCAATTTTCAGCCTCACCAAAAAGGCGTTAGGCGCCCGCCCAGGCGGTGTCCCAGCAAACTAGTCAGCTGCCCAAGGTCACCATCCCACAGTGAGGCTGCCCATGTGCCTGGGGAGCCTTTGGACATAGCTACATATTATGCTGATAAAGAACTTTTAATTGCATCAAATGTGTATTATATTTACATCCAATAGAATAAAACAAAGAAAGGCTAAACAAATGGATAAATTGAATATTGTTACTATAATAAAGAAAACCAACAAACAACACAAAAGCTACAATTAACCAAGGACTAATTTCCAATAATGAAAAAGTAAACACATACCGAAAGATTATCATCTGCTCAGGTTTTCGTTTCTTGGTACTCTCAAAGAACTCAAATAATGCCCCCCTGCATTGCAATGCCAGAAGCATTTCAAAATAAGTTACAATCCCCATTCAACCTACTATAGGACTTGAAGTCTAATTATGAAATAAAAAGTAATGATCGCTTTAAGTCCATGAGGAAGGTAACATTGAAAGCTTCAAGGCAAGAAACCGCAGGTGCCATAGGCCCAATGTCTCACTTTATCAATGTTATGAAGTAGGATCAAGTGTTGAGAAATAACTTTTCGTGAACACCACACATGCATACCCTGAAAACTTAATGGTAGTGAGAAGCATATTATGTCATGAAAATTTTCTCGATGATGCACAAACAATATTTTTTCACAAATTTTTTAGTATATAATTTGTAATCCTAGGAACAGTGTTCGAATACTAACGTGTCCAACTCAGATTTGCTCGAATTAGACTTTGCTGGCAAAGTCAAGTTGCCTAACTCAGGCTCAAGACCCCTAGAGAGTCCCAACTCAAGTCCTTGCTTTATAACACTTACGAAAAATTCACAAACAAACTACAGCACACACATTGCTAAAAATTAACATGCACCTTCCTTGAAATTCTTTTGTACTAAAGAAATCAATATACATTTTTGATACAAGACATTTTTGAAACATAATTCATTTATGCAAGACCGTTTTCATAACTCCAGCACATGAATAAATTACGGCTTTTTGAAGAGAAGGTTTACTACATGAATAAATTAGGGTTTGCAACCATAATCTGATATAATTCCCAGTCTCATGGAAAACACACATGCATAATAGTATCTAATAACTCTTCCTCTTCTTTGCATTGGTTCTAGCTCATACAGATATTATGATGGCCTGTAACCTACAACTAACTTGTCACTGGACAAAAAATGCCCTCAAAGGGGATGGTACTAGGTGGGCACCTTGGCCTGCCTTAAGCCCACCTAGACCGGCACCAAGGGCAAAAGGCAGCCTGCCTAGGCACCTTCAGTTCCGTGGCCTGCTCAGATTGCCTAGGCAGCCAGGAGGCTGAAATTTTTAACACTAATCATTTGATCCCTAGCCCAAAATTTCCGAGGTGTGAAGTTATCCCAAAACCTTCTAGCCTTTCCCTCTCTCCTGATCCTATCCCGGAACAAGTCCCAATCTTAGCGGTATATACGGTTTTAACACAATGGGTATTTTTAAGACTACTGGCTGATTCTTTGCTGAGTCTTGACAAGACTCACCAAATGTTCAAAAAAACTTAAAATTTTTCTAGAGACATCAAACAATCAATTCTTCAAGAACTCACTGAGCGGATTGATGGCTTCATCTAACACATCATGGAGGTAGGCAAGATTCCAGTGAATTACAATTTGCAGACATTCTGTAATATGGATGCATTTCTACAAGTCTGGTTTTCTTGTGCGCAGGTGGGTAGTGTCAGAGCAATATATGCATGAGTATGCTATGAAGTATGTTATGTTTCTTTTATTTCTTCCGTATTTTATTTGTTTTTGTTATTTAATGCATTGGAGTTCAAAAAATATTTGGATATCTCAACGAATGAGTCAATTTGCACTATTTAGGACAGACTCCAAAGTTAAGATCAATACTTAAAATACTCTTCTAAAAAATGATTTGCTTTATGCTGGAGAGGAATTACCTAATAAAGCCTGTATCTTTACCATCCTCTGATGGTTGAAATAGGGAATCGATCATCTCCACCTTGGGGGACTGTGTTCTAACAAAAGCCCTATACCTTGAAATTAGAGGCCAACATCTTGAACTAACGACCTAAGCACAAAAGTAACAAAAAGTCCATGCATTAAAGATGATCTAGAACCCCATTCAAAACCCCGACTGGAGTAATTAGCTAAGCAAGTTACTCAACTTGGCAACAAAATAAAGAATAACAAAAGAAATAGGCACCGCAGAAATTGAAGGATTATCTGCTTGTCCTGGAGAACCATGAGAAACATCCATTCCTAGAATTATTGTGGGAGAACTGGATATTATAGGTATATAACATTCCTTCTCAGCATCTAATAAGGAGTTTATACCGCCGAGCTGCAAGGAAAGAAATTGTGTAAGCAAAACTCAATGGTAAAGTAATCAGGATTGAGAAGTGGAGAGATAGATTACCTTTGAATTGACTTTTAGAAGGATATTATATAGATATGGATCATTAACCTTCACAGGACAAGCGCATTGGGTAGGAACCCCCAGTTCTGTTAGAAGCTTTTTCTTCCATGGCCCTTGTAACCATGAAAAGTAAGCATGTGTCATGCATTATTACAAAGATACTATGAAAATGAATAAAAAGAAATTGAGCCAGCCCACCATAAATATCAGAATTCTTTCTATCAGGTAGCACACAAAAGACAAACTGTATCTCGCTGCATTGGTCACCAAGCCTTGCGAAAATCATCGCGATCATCCGATCAACTCGAATCAGAGGATTCTGAAACCTCCCATTTGAATCTTCTTCAATTATGCAAGGAGGGGAAAGATTCTGCAAATACATCAACATCGTCAAAATCCTAGAATCTAACTTCAATGTAGAACAGATAAACAAAATATCCATTCTTAATAGCAGTGAAGAATATGAACATACTACTCCTTTGTTTCGGCCACAATTTACAAGTTGACGAGCAAGGTAGTTTATGTCACATCTTGCCGAAAAATTCACGAGCACCCAACGTTCTACCCGAACAGGTTCATATAGTTGCTGATGTAGGTATAATATTAACTTCAGAAAGAGAATACAGAAATCAAGAGACATGCTGCTAAATCATCAGAGTGGCATGACAACAAACCTTGACATTCCACCGACCATTCTGAGGTACAAGGACTTCCCCTTTACCAAATATCATCTGCAGGAAGAAGATAAGGACATAAGGTTAATTGGGTTTCTTTTAGAAGCAAATGAAAGTTATGAACTTTGTGAAGAGGCCAAAAGGCATCACTAAACATAGAATATTTCTGGAGACAAATATATGCAAACATACAAGTACACATGAACAAAAACTTGTCCCCTCATGTGTATACACACACATGAACACACGAAACACGATAAGCAGTCAGCTTAAATCCAAGTCTAAACATATATGAAAATACAGATCTTTCTGGTATAAGTGTTAATGTACTTATGCATAAAATGCGCATGAAAATGTGCATGTGCATGCATGCACAAGTGTCTACATACGAAATCTTCAATAAAATGCATACATCAGGATGCTTATGTAAATACAAGCTGAAATACAGATGCCCGTGTGTGTGTGTGCGTGCGCTCTTTATGTATATCACAAGGTGTATTTTAGTAATTTAACCCTTCATATTTTCCTTTTCTTTTTTTTTATTTGATTGATTTTTTAAGCCCTTAATTTCATTGACATGAACTCTATCAGAGTAACCTTTGGTATTAGAGCTGGTCCAATGCAAAGCATCACCTATCTTCCCAGAACCCTAGTCTAACTTACGAGTTTCCAGGAACCAGATCTTTTTTAAATTCCAAACCAGTGCATCCAAAGTGTCTTGGATGAGTTGAAGCCCAGCTTCATTGCATAAAACTATCAGCTGTGAAGACATAAACAACTTAGATTACCTGTAAGCCTGCATGTTCACATGTGTGACCCACACTTTGTAATATGAACAGTACACATTAGTAGTATGCATGACAAGTTCATGCGGTTGCCATAATTAATGTGGATCAGCTTCATTTGTGGTCATTGAGGAGCTAACGACCTGGAGGAGGGCATCTAGACCTTGGTAACCGACCAGCCACCACTCTCTGAGGTAGAACTTCCCACCCATAGCAACCGCATTGGAGCACGTGTAGCCTTATCAGGCCTCAAGCAAAGTTTCAAGAGAAGAATTCATGGGTAGCCTTTTCATCCTCCCCATAGAAACATGAATTCATGACTCTCAAGGGATCTCATTCTGTAATTTTTGGAAGTTGCACTCATTCTGAGGTCAGGTGAGGACAAGATGGCTTGCACCTTGTATCCTACATTGGTTGTTCTTGGTTAGTTCCTTTTACTAAGCACACATAATAATGGAGGTCCTTGGACACAACTAGACTAATGTGCCAGCTATCCCTCAAAACATATGGGCATTTGGATGGTCAGAATGTTTGGATAAGCCTCACATGGTGGGTCACCTTTAGCAAGGTAAGTGTAAAGTACAAACCCCAACAGGCATATTATGTAAGGCGGTATAAAGTTATCAAACCACCCTATCCTATGCAGGGCAGCAAGATGCATTAGGTGTTACATGCTTGTAACATATGAAGTCAAATTCACGCTGCACCATATTTGGCAGGTGCGGGTATGTTTCCAGGAGTAGGAGCTGGCTCGGGTCTACATAACCTTGGATTGTTGGAAGCTCCTTGTGATTAGGATCAGCATCCATACGATCCTATATCAAGGGAGTGGGGTCGTTGTCATAGAGAAACACGATTCAATGAGAAAGGAGTCACAATAGCAAGATTTAAGGGATCGCGAATGATGCGTGGGTTCACAATACCAGTGGGCACAAACCTGAATCAGTGCATAATAATCATTGTCGAATAGAGAAAACATCATATACATTGCATCATACACTTGAGAACGACAATTCAAACCCACTGGGGATGAGGATCACAATATAGGGATCCGTGTTCCATCCAAGATCCCTAGCTGGAATAGTGGGATCGAGGTTCCGGAGCGCATCCATGACTTTTCCTAGAAGGTTCCAGCAACTGTGTAGCACAATTAAGGTGATCTGGCTCAGTAGTCATCCACTCATTCCCTCCTGGGGGTTAAACCAATGTTATAAATTCGCTTCGCTTCGGCCTCTTCAGCTGAAGCCTTTGGATTTTAGCCATAAACTGAAGAGAAGAGAAGCGAAGCCTAGAGTTGCTGCTTCCGTCAGATTTGGACCGCTTCGGGCTCCTTCGGTCAGATTCGGACCGCTTCGGTTTTGCTTCAAGTCTACTTCGGCCAGCAAATAAAAGTATTTTTTATTTTTTATTTTTTCTATTATTTGTATACATTTTACATATAAATATGTAATTTATTTATCCTAAATTAAAACAAAGTCTGAAGTCTTCCTCCGAATCGACCGAAACACAGAATTGCTTCATTTTTCTCACCAAACCGAAGAAGACTTCAAAGCGAATCTGACAACATTGGGTCAAACCCATTCCAACCACACCTTGGGTATCCTTCACTTCAAGGAATATTGCAGGAATGTTTGTATGTGGATCTTTAAAGGCAATAAAGCTAATATCACTGTTTTGAAGACCCATGACTGTAATTACATTACTAAGATGACCATTCGGAGCAAGAATTTCTAGGGAATTAAACTTTGGGGACCTCATTAGAGAAAGATGAGATAGGGTTCCAGGGAATTAAACTTTGGGGACTTCTCTAAAAAGATGAGAAAGGGGATTAAGCAAACATGATGTTCGGAGAGCCAAGATATATAGGTAGCATCTCAAGTAGGTATGGTCAAACTAAATTATTCTGGTAGGTCACTCAGAAATACAGAACTAGCAAATAGCATTTTCCAAGACTACAAATCAACAAAGAGGATATCCTTAAGGCAATCAAACCATGAGTACAATTTGTCAAAAATGAAGGATTCAAAGGATCAATAAGATCAAAACTTTCCAACAATATTTCAACAGACCTCGTGCTGTAAAGAGACTCAATAAATGTGATAAGATGAACCCTAGGTCTCTGATTTCCTGCTCATTGGAAGCTCTTTTGAGGAGATAGACGAGCTATGAAAGAAACACACTGCTCTGAACTGAACTATGATGACCCATAAAAGCCAAATGTGAGAGCTGATACTCTGGCTGAGTAAGGGGTTCAATATCCCACTCTGGCTAAATGGACAGCTAACCACAGTTCTAGGCCGTGTTTCCTCAGCATTACCATTTTCTTACTCATGAATGAAGAAGACACAGAAAAATAGAAAATAAATTTTGGGGAAAGGCGTTTATTTGAAGTTCATTTTTGGAAGAGAACATATTTCACCACATTTCTAGGGTTCACTTTCTTACACTTGTGATGACTGATCTACAAAGGCTATTCATCTATTTTTGGGTATGTTTTGTTTAAGTTCTGCAGATTTGAAGTAGGATTGCTCCCTAGTCCACTAAGTGTGGATCTTTGCTTACTCTCTCAAAAAGGGTGCAAAGTTTAAAAGCTCAAACTTGGGATCCTCAACTAGGTCACAGCCAAAACAGCGTCAACTCACCCACATTATTCAAATTTTGGAAGAAAGGACTATGCCAAAAATAGGTTTGAACATAAAACCAAGAGTAAACATGTACTACCATGTATGCACCACGCATTTTCCCAGTTTTTACATATTAAATGTAAATAAAGAAAAACTTTGCCAAACTCAAGTTTTTCATCAAAAAACTTGGGGTCTCCATGAGTTGTTTTGTCCTAGACAAGTTGCAAAAACTTGAAATGAGTTTTTTAATACTGGATCCAAAGACCAAAAGAAAATATCTTTCCAAGGATGTTACTTTATTGAACATCCCTATGTATCTGATATTAAAGATGTTATGTCTCCTAGTAATTCTCACCATGGGGAGAACAGGGAAGTTAAGCTCTGCCCATTCCTTGTTGAAGTGCTCCAGTTCCCTCATTCCAAATTTTCAAGCAGTCAACAAAGGATTCCTACAGGAAACAGGATAGAGAACTCTAAGTGCACAACAAGGACGAGGATCTACAATCTGAGAACCATGGAGTTCTCATCAAGGAATCACTCTGAGCATGTTTGTCAACTTTATTGCCTGTTATTCCCAGAAAAAGAATTGCCTACGCTTTTATTTGGAAAAGCTTTGCAACTGTGGGAATCTTTTCAATCCAGAGACATGGATAGTAGCACCTAGCCAAAAAAGCCAAGCCAAGACTTGAACAGGAATTCAAGTGGCAATCACCATAGAAATGTTGTATTATACAACATGCACACACACACACACATGTAAACCTATAATATGCATAATAATATCACAAGTAGAATATATGTGTGTACGTGTATGTGCATGTACACATATGAATGCCCAAATATATGTATAAGTCGGCATGTAATGACATATGAGTGTTTGTATCAAATGCATATACAAATAACGAATATAGAATTGAGCACAAAAAAACACACTTACAAACATCCAGTGACCCAAATGTAGGGCAACAGATAGAGAACAAACCTTGGGAGCTTCTAAAACTCGGCCTTCAACTTCAGTAAATTGATGTTTGATGGATACCCCACATGCTTTTAACAAGGTGTTTGCGTTGTAATTATTGAGTTTCATTGCCTAGGCAATTGTAATTGTGACAACCAGATTGTCGAAGCATGCAGTTAACAAATTAAAAATACAACAAAAATACGAGCAAAAAGAAGGAACGCACTTCACTCAGAATTGCCATGCGCTCCCGAGGCTTTTGCCTCGATTTCTCAACAAGGTTAGCTCTCTGAATAGTTGTAAGGGCCTTTGTATATCTTTGCAAAGGGAGAAGTACACAGAGCTACAAAAAAGATGACAGTTATTCAGTAAATGGAAGCACGACTGAGGACTCCAAACTCCATTTTTATCTTGATAACACATGGCCTACCTCTACAGGAATATAAGTGGGACGCTTACGCCTCCCAACGTCGATACAAGGGCATTTTCCAGAGTATTTTAGTGCTATATTCCTATGATTTACAAAGTATTCATAAACAGTAATTTCCTTAATTTCTTGTGGCGACCCATTGCCAGTTGGGCTATCTCCATTTTTAACCCTCAATGGAAATCTACAGAAATAAAAGCAAAAAGACAGAACACGTAAGAGAGCAGCTATAAAGAAACCAGACCAGACACTTGATTGCCATTAATAATGCATACTTGGTGAAAAACTGCCATGGAACACCAAGAAAAAGAAACTTGCACCGGCCAGCATGAGAAGAAAAACAGAAGGAAATTGGAAGAAAAAGATAAAAAGCATACAATTGTTCCTCACAGATCTTCTCACTAAATCCCATAATCTTGAACTCTTGATTTGTATGCCGTGTAGATATTCTGAAGTTTTTGAGGACACGTCTGGCCTGAAAATATCGTAGCATTTCAAAAGTCACAGGTAAATGAATTCCAAAACAAAACCTTAAAAAACCCTACATAAAAGGGGTGTTTCCTTACTTTTTTCCAATCAATGTCACGAGGATGGTTCAACTTCTGGTTCTCCAATAAAAATTCCACCAAATCACCAGGCTTCAGAATTATGGTTGTGGAGACATCTAACCATCCAATAAAAACACAAGTAAAGATAACAGTAAAGGGAGCATCCATTATACTAACAGAGAATGTGGTAAGAGAAAGCACACACCCATGTTCAATGAAAGCCCATTCTGAGTAGGGCGGAAGCTCGAATGAAAACCACTGCAGGCAGACACACCACCACCGAGGTCTCTAATGTTTCGTGGATCATTGTGGAAAAAAGATTGCCGCACTAGAAGGCATCCCCTAAAAGAGGGAAAGCACGATTACTATGAATAAGGAAAGAAATAGGAAATATCAAGAAAAGTAAGATTGACCTAAATGTAAAGTGAATTGAACAAAGAAACAAAGCTCTTCCTTACTGTTTCGCTGCATGCTGCCTTAAAATGATGTCAAGGACTCTAAGGGCATCCTGGGAGTTGTCAGTGGGATCTCCACGAAGAATGGCAGCGATGGATCCCAGAGGAATTTTTGCCGCAAAAGTGATTTCCACCTTGATAGTCCGAGAGCGACCCAGGCGTCGTTGCCTCTTTCTGTCCTCCTCACTCGGGCTTCCATTCCTGCCAGGTCTAAAAACACAAAGAAAGCACAATCAGTATGAGTAAACAAAGAAATGGGAAACATTTCATGGAAAAATGAATATGTTAGCACAAGAGAGCATTCAGCACAAATGCCTCAAATAAAAGAACACCAAGATCTCACACACACACACACACAGGGAGACAACACGCACGCACGCATGCATGCACACCCCACAACATACGCACACAACACAACACACGCACAACACACACACACACACACAATATAGTACATGCAGCCTCAACTGTCTGTTGTCAACAATGGGCAGTTGAGATGAACTGCTTCCCTACTTGAGAATACATTGACACACTCAAATGGAGGAATGGACTATCTCAACTGTCTGTTTTCAATGATGCACGTTTGCTGTTTGTGTGTTACATGCAGCATCTTATACACACCCAATTGAAATATAAGGGAATGCATTGTACAGTCCTATAAACTGCGGTATATGGTATCCCAAGGCTAGTTCCACCTGTTTGTTTCCACCAACAGATGGTTGAAGATCAACTTGGAATAGAATCTAAAGGGGAATATAAACCAATAATCAATGGAGACAAACAATGAATGTAGTCTTGGAGTAGCATATATCATAGTCTGTTGGAGTATGGTACACTTTTCCCAATATATAATGGTTGCAAGGGTCCCAGATGACCAACCAAGAGTGCTGATACCTATCGGATAACAAGTCCTCCAGCACAACAGTGAAGTCCATGTTGTTTCGAGGAAGAGCGCCCACTGTGAAGAGAGTGTGCTCTCCATCATAGGCCAGTTCCTTCCCAGAAAAGTCTGGTTTATAGGTCTGGTACACTCTATCTAACGCTCTTCGTCCTATGCCTTTAGTATCAGTTGCCCACTTATCCTCAGATGCTAGAGCAACCTGCACCCAGTAAAAACAACAGCATACAATCTGATTTTACCAAATTACAACATTGGAGAGAAGGTAGACCACTAAAAGAGAAAGGCTTCAAGATCACCCTCCCATCATTCAATGGAAGAGAACCTGATCCCAGCAAAACAAGTCCTAGTGAAACTCGTGCATAATGTGATTTGCTCTGAACACATGTTCAAAACCAAGCATGTAAAAAAATGTGGCAGAGCAGGCTACGCTCATATCCTTGGATGTAAGAGCAGCCTTCTTCCATTAGACCAATTCTCAATAAAAACCCTATGTATTTTTGTTTTTTTTGGCTAGTTCGATGGGAGGAATTGAACTTGGAACATACTGTTGCAATTTTCAACAACTAGCCAAGCAAACCCATGCCTGATTCCTCCAATATGTAATTTAAGTTTATCATCATCATCCAAGCCTTATCCCAACTATTTGGGGTCGCTACACTAATCCTGCTCCACCATTCTGCTCTATCAAGGGTCATACCCTCATGCAATTTGATTTTATAAAGAACAAAAAAGCAAAATTAGAATGGCCATTGAAACAAGCGAGCCATTTGGGCCTCCCTTTGATCATCAAATGCAAGCACAAGCTGCTTCTGTTAAACCATTTATCCATAAACCAGTACAAAATATGATATTACCGATCTTCAGTTTCTTTAAGAGGAAAGCAGGTGAGAACAAGAAGAAATACAGTCTGCCCTGTAATCCTTTATTGAAACAGCAACCTGCTCATAATATATCAATTGTATGTAAAAGAATACTTGTGTTAACAAAAATCATACTTTCTTAGAGATAAGAAGGTAAAAGCAACACAGTAAAATGCTATGCAGTTTTACCTCTGGATGCAAGAGCTACCAGTTCTGACAGGACAAATTCCCAATAAAATCAGCATATAAATAAAGAACCTGATTCGTTCAAAAAGGAAATGATCCTCTAAGCCAGACTCATTTTTAGTTTCAAATGAGCCAGGCCATCTGAACAGTAAACGATAACCTGGCTACATTTACTATGTTGACCAAGGCCCATTTGAAGGTTTAGATGAGTCAGGCCATCTAAACTGTAAATCATGATCTGGCTGCATTTAGTGAATTGACTAACTCTTCGCTGCATCAATGAAGCAAGCTATGTTCTTGAAATTCAAACCATTAGCTTGTCTCATCTGAATTCCAATGAGCCTGAGACAAGCAAATGGTAAGTAGCTTGACAAACACAATAAAGAGAAAACAGCAAGTAGAAAGCAAGACAGCAAGAGGTTAAAAGAGTAACATTCTCGGCCATTAAACCAATTCGCATAAAACCATCATATAGATAGAATCATAAAGAACAGCAGTTAAAAAGCAAGATGACAAGATGGTCTGCCCTTATATCCTCGAATGCAAGGGCAATCTATTCCCCCATTAAACCAATTCACAAAAAGACCACTACTCTGATTTTGCCAAACATCATATAGTTAGCGAGAGAGAATCAGGCGAACAAAGGTGGGGGCCAGAGAAGCTTCTTACGCTGTATTGGAAGAAAAATCCATCCGGAGAATTGAAATTGACTTGAAAGTGGTTTGTCAACAACTTGATCTTCCTACCCAAAGATCCAAATCCCTTGCGCTGTATGGGAGTAATCTTTTGATGAATGCGAGTTGGGATGACATTCGGTGGTAAGGGTGGTGGTGGAGGCAGCACTTCTTCAATTTTCGTGTCAGATGGATCCATTATTACTTGAAACCTTCAATAGTCAATACCCCCAAAGAAGAAAAAAAAAATTAAATTCATCACATGAAACAAGGATTTACCTGAAACCTTCAACAACCAGAAAAACAAAAAAAAAATAAAGATGGTGAGAAACTCTACTGGAATAATGAAACAAAAAGAAAAATGAAGGGAAAACTTAACAAGGGCCAGGCACTCTTTGTAACTGAGGACTACTAAGATTCCAAAATACCATAAAAGGTAAAGGATAAACACAAGCACCCACCAAAAGCAGAGAAATAACTAGAAATATAGTAACAGAATGACTACAGAAACCATAAAAACAGAAACAAAAAGGAAAAAAATGCATTCAAGCACATAATGGGGTCGCTGCTACAATAAGAAACAAAATAAAAAAGTTGGAAGACCTAACATTTTTTGTTGCTGAATGTTACCCAGAACGCCAAATGACAAAATCAAGCAAAAACCAGAATAAATACCAAATGATATAGAAATGGAGATGAACCCCACCAAAAAAAAAACACAGAAGAAGATAAATTAAATACAACATGGCACACAATAAGGACCACTCTAGATTCAAGAATATCAACTATTAAGGAATTATATAAACCCAATAACAATAGAGGGCATCTATCCAGAAAATAATTTCATATAAAAGGGAAAGAAAGTTCTAATGCTCACGACAACATGGGATATGCACTCATGAGGGTCATCACCATCCAATCATTGAACTAGGTGGTAAAAACGAGACAACATGATCCAAAGGAACACCACATGGCTTCAACAGTGGGTCCCACACTCTCTCTCCCCTTCTCCAACCAATTGGTTGATGGGATAGCCAAGCCCTCATGAGCTGATGTCCCCTGTGGTCAAGAGGATTAAAGAATACTTTTCCTAATAAAAGGTGTTCAAGGTAATTAGGGAAAGCACTTGTTAACAGAGAAGAATCTAGGCCCGACTACAACAGTCAACACCAAACGCATGAGACCAAGAATGAAACAAGGCACTTAAAAAAAAAAACCCAAAAACAAGGTATTTAACTACAATAAAAGGTAAACAATAAAAAAGCAGAGGAAAAAATTAAAAGACCATAAAGTCTTTCATATTTAATTATAATGAACAAAATTTACAAATTAACGTAGATTAATACACCTAGCGAAAACCACAAAAGGAAAAAAAATTAAGGAACATAGCCATGACAATAGCGATTAGATTAAACAACAGGAGACCCCACTACTTACCCAAAAATAGCTGGAAATAAAAGAAACCAAACTAAAAGAAGGCTATGCAGAGACCAGAAACAACAAAAGGAATGCAGAGACACCCTGAAGGACCGAAAATAACCTTCAGCCACTGAGCAATACTATAGGTGATTTCTGTTTCCAATAATACCATTTCTGCATGGCAACAAATATATCCATTTTCTTTAAAAAAATTCTCTTTTCAAAGAAAGTAAACCCATCATCACGCATGCATAGATATAAATATGAGTATACAAGAAAAACATGAGCTAAACAAATAAATATAAATACCTAAAGGCAAAAAAAGGCAAAATAAACATATTTTCATCGTTTCCAAGTGAAATATAACTTTTACAACTTGTCAAGTAGAAAAGTATTGCAGAAACTTAAAAAATAAAAATAAAAAATAAAAATAAAATCTTATACTCTTATAAAGATTAAAAAAATGACATAACTTCAATAAAAAAACAAAAACAAAAAAAAAACCACATGACAAAAAAGAAAGAAGATATTTTATTCAGTTTAAAGTTTTACTTGTCAACATAAAATTTCTAAAGAAACATTACAAAATATAAAGAAAGTATTTATTGTCCTCAAAGAATAATATTGTGTAGCTTGTTCATGCTTAACTAACTCTAGTGTTTTAGATATTTCCCTTGTTTTCCCCCGGTTTAGTGTTCCCCAAGAAATTTCTCAAAGAACACCTACATTTTGAAAATTTAGAAAACACCACCTCACAGAAATAAGTTTTTTTTTTTTTGGTAGTTTAGCTCACAGAAAATATTACAAGAAAGTTATTTCCTCATACGAAATAAAGATTCTTCATAGCATTTGGGTGAGAAATCAAGGGCATAACGATGCCCCAATAAGGCCAAAAAAAAAAAAAAACCAAATCATAAGCCGTTGAAAAAACAAAAATGGATAAGCTCTGAGTCAAAATAGCACATGCACAAATATTTGAGGAGAAGGATTTAAGCACAGTGAAAACCCTTTTGAATCACATGTTAAACCTTCAGTGTTGATACAAGAAACTGGTCACTAAGATAATTTACATAAGAAATGACATTAAAAAGTGAACAAAACAGAGAAAGCAGTAGGATTAAAGGAGGACATTAAATTAGACACGACTGCAAAGAATACCCAAATCAAAGAAAAACCCTGAAAACCAGAAAAAACTGAGACCACTCCACAAACAAAATCACATTTTGAAAAGAGGAGAGAGAGAAATAGAGTGAGAGAGAAAGCGAGGATGAGAAGCTGTTAATGGAAAAACCCACTTTTACAAGCAAAAACCCACATTTCACACCCAAGCATTAGACAAAATATTCGAATTTTATAAAAAATAAGAACTAAAACCCAGCAAAACCCATTTTTCACACCCAAGCAAGGGACAAAATATTTTGATCATCAAAAAAAAATTAAAACCCACTTTTACAAGCAGAACTTACTATAAATAAAACCTAAATTGATTAAATCTAAGAAAAAGTAGAGAAGAATGACATGCAAAAGATGGATCAACAGTAGAGGAAGGGGGAGGTTAAAATTGACTGTCAAACCTTTGCTAAAGTAGTGAGAGAAACCACAAGCACTGGAGAGAGAAAAAAACCAAAACAACAGAGGCAGGAAGACCTAGTGGTAAGCTCCCAATCCCTTCGTTTCAGTTTCAGTTTCAGTTCTTCAAAACCCTCTCTCTCTCACACACTTTCTAGTTCAGTGAGAGAAACGGAACCCCTAGAGAGAGAAACCACAACACAAATGGTGGCAGAGGAAGCTCATCATTCATTGCAGGGAGGGTTTCAGACACCATTAACACAAAGTAAAAACGCTTCAACTACCTGCTTTTACAAATCCCACTTACCCAGTTCTCTTCGTTTCGCTCTCTAAACTTCTTTTTGCTAATTTGAATAACCAATGTATTACTTTCTCTCGCTAAACATCCCACTCTTTCTCTCTCTCATGCTTTATGGAACGTCCCGCCAGAGTAAAAATTTGATTGGCCCTTTTAGGGTACGGTCTCATAAGCCTGTAGCCTTATCTGTAGAGATAAAACTGCAGCGTCTTCATCCGTACACTGTGGAGGGTGCAGTTTTGGCACTACAATGGAAAGGGCAATTAGGACTCAATCCACATATTAGTCTCTTGCCTCACTTTGGCGGGTTTCTCTCTCTAATGTCGCTATGAATGCCGGGCTAGACCCACCAGCCGCCCCATACCCGTAATTATATCTCGGGTTAAGTTTCCAAATGTTGAAGTCCGGGTTAAATGCCGTGCCCTAATTCTTTAATGAAGGGAAAACACAATCAGGAAATAAAAGAACAAGGAGACTATTTAGTATGGGGGGCGGTTTGTATATGGCAGAGGCTCTAAACAATCAAATTAGGGCCTACTTTCAAAGAGTGTAGAGAAATATGGTTTCAATATTGGAAAGTTTTGTGATAGTCTTAAATTATATTTTTATATTTAGTCATAAAATTTAAAGCCTAAAAAATAGTGTAGATCAAACAGATCAATAAAAACTTGCAAAATCTTGAAAATTGACAGTCTAAAAATTAAAATCCTTTTTTTTTCTCTCACATCTATGCATCTTGATGTCGAGATGATCAATTTGATGATATTTTGGAATCAAAACAACCTCTTCTAATGAAAGTTTTGAAGTAGGTTCTAATTTGAATGTTTAAAGCCTAGGCTCTACATAAACTTTTACCTTTAGTATTTACTTTTAGTACAAGGATGTTAGCGTCACTCTCCTCCATCATATTTTATAAGGAAAAAGAGGTAGACTCCCTATCTAAATTATTATCCTAGATAACCATGGTCTCATAAAAAGCCCATAAAAAGCACTCAAGTTAAATAAAAAAAAGATATTTAACACATTCTTTACTTTTTCCGTCGTTTAAATTACATAATTTATCCTTTTTATGTTCTTTTAATAACTTCATCATAAAAATTGAGTTTGTAATGGCTCTTTTAACTTACTTGTGCGGTCCACCAAATGGGACAGAGATATCAGTACTCAGGCAAGACTTACCTTGAGCCTTTTAATTAGGAGTCCTTGCCTATCTTAACCATACTTGCCTTCTATAGGGCTTCCCACAATTATCCTTGCCCTAAAAACTATTCTCCACTACCATTTTGCTAACATAGCCACCCTAGATCCCCTTAGGCTTAATAGACTCAAAAAACTACTTGCACACCTAATTGAATGTCGAAAGCCTTGAAACTAAGCCTTTAGTGTCCAGAACTATAACATCCTTAAAAGTCATCCTAATTGGGCAGCACTAAATTATAGAGGAGATCATAATATTTACAACAGTTCAAGAACCACTTGAATCTTATATACAGTTTGAAAGGTATGAATAAAATAACATTTGTTAAAAAAAAAATACATTCTAGTCCCATAGATGCATTTTGGGTTGACGCTGATGCAGACCGCATTGATGTCAATGCGAGACCATAGTGGCAGAGTGATATTAGACTCTGTTTTGGCCCCCATTTTTTCAAGAGCTTATAAATGAAAATTCAAAGTGTTTAAAATCAATAGTTGTAAAATTCTAATAAAAAATTCCTTATATGGGAAAATAAGATTTCCAAGTTGTTTGTGAGTCTATCTCTATAAGGATTGGAATTAGGATGGGACTTGATAGAATCCAATTTGGATTGAATAGGATTGGTCATGAGAGAATCCAATTTGGATTAGAAGTGATTCAAGGCTTCTTGATTTTAGAAGATCAAAAGGTTTAGATAGTTGCCAGCTCTAGGATATAGATTACCCTCAGGAGTTAATATGAGGAAGGGATAGGCTGATTCTCAAGAAAATTCTATGGAAGACATCTAAATTTTAGTTGGAGCAAGCTGACAAATGCTTAAGCAAGCTGCCTACAAAATTTGGACAAACAAAGTCTAGATTACCCGTCAACTTGATATGCATTGACGTTAACTCATACCACGTTGATGTGAATTGATACCATGGTCGTAGATAAACACTATGTTTGTTTGGACCCAAATTTTGTAGAGCAATAAATATTGGACTTGTAATCATATTAGAAGTGGTATATCGAGTTTTTGGCATGTGAAAACCCCTTTGCACCTCAACCTAAGGCATCATATAGATTAGATTGTTCTAGACAATATTAGTCAATGGCTAGAGCCCTCATTCCGAGATCTCTCAACCTAAACCTAATTCCATATAGTCCAATTTAGGCTTAGATCATCACCAAAAACCCTAATTAAGCTAGAAATCCTAGAAAGCTATAGGTTAAGCCTAGAAACCCTAGATCTGATCTTCAATGATCAATGTACAATATCCAATGCAAGTTAAATGATCTCAAGCCCTTAATTCAAATATTCAAGTAAACGAGGACTCAACACAAAATTCAATAAAAATCTAATTCAGGCCCCAATTATGGGGGCTAGGCTTATGTGTCCAGTTTGGTAAGCTTTTATTTTATTTCATTATTTGATTATTCTATTAGTTTTAGTTCTCAAGTTTACAAGAGAACTTCTTTATTCTTTTTATTTCAGATTCTTATAAAGAAATAATGATTTTGAGAGAGAACTAACCAGCACTGTAGTAATTTGGTTGGACCTTGATCCTTTTTTAATTTCCCTTTCAATTAGTTTTTACCCAAATCAGATGTCTTCTTTTTTTAAAATATAAATCACCCAACGTGGGGCTAGCTAAGCTATATCTCTCCTAAAATGACCAAAAAGATGTTCTAAGCCCATGTTTTCATGTTGTTCATGATTGTTCAACTGACATGAAAGTCTTGGAAAAAATAGGGCAAACAGATCTGCGCATTTTTTTTCATTGTCCTTTTTTAATAATATAAGGTCAGAATATGCACTATTTTCTTTTGTTAATTCTATAAATATTTTTTAAAATTTATATTTCTCCAAAAGCCCTTGTTTTGCTCTACTGTATTTTTTCAGCTCACTATCACTATTTTGAAGATACCTTTCGAACAATGCATGCATGCCATTTTCTGCACTAGTTTGGATACAATCACCATTCAAAAAGTTTTTAAGTGTTTTCAAAGACCCCCACGATTGTCGTTAAAGATGGGAGAGGCACCTAGCTCTTGAAGGCGGGCCAATTAGGAGTACATGCCATTAACAGGAGCATCCCTATGCATATCTCCTTCCATCAAGGGCATCTTGCTGCAACTAGGCCACTTGGCTACTCATAAGGGCTTGGTTTGACTTGCACAAGTGTATCATGTTGGAGTGCTGGCATTTGAAGACCTTGAACCCTGACATATTATAGCTTGTGATAATTGTGGGAGTGAGCAAGAGTGATATCACTCTAGGATCTTAGTGCACTAGGACCAAGAGTCACAAACTCTAAGTATCACAAGGCTTGAGTATTTCATGTGTGATAGCCCTATAAAAGAAGGTTAGGCTCTAACAGGATTTAAGCCTAGATCTTTGACCTCAAATCTTCTCATAGTATTGTAAAGATAGAAATAGTTGAGGTAGAGATAAAGATAGTTGATGATATTTTCTAAAAAAAATGAAAAGAGAAAAGTTAATATCGATAAGGATTTAAGGAATCGTGTTCGTGTTCTTAGAGAGAGAGAGGGAGACGGCAGTTCGAGAGCTTCATTATCGATTGAAGATCAACTCAATGGAGACCAAGCTTTTTTCTCTCAAGGTTGAGTCGTTGCAGGCTGAGAATCATATTAAACTTCTGAATCCTCTAAGGAAATCTCTGTGTATCGATTAATTGTCAAGAATATATAAAGTCCCATATAAATATACGGCTAATCAGTTATTGATAACGACAAACTAATCTAGTCTTATCAATAAAGATATCTACAACAAATACAAGATAAATTAAAATTAGAAATTATCCTCAACTATCTTTATCTCTACCTCAACTATTTCTATCTCTATACTCCCCCTCAAACTGAGGTTAGGTAAACATCATCAGTTTGTCAACGAGATAGTCATGACTAACATGAGTCATGGTCTTGGTAAAAATATCTGCAAGTTGTTATTGGGAGGTAATATGTGGGAGTGTAACTTCTTCGGCTAGAAAATTTTCATGAATGAAATGACAATCAATTTCTATATGCTTTCTCTGCTATGAGCTTATATGGTATGAACACTCACATATCCCCTAGTGTCAATCCCCTTTGGTTTATTGACTCTGGTGCCTCTAATCATATGATTGGAGTGCACACAAGTCCATCATCTACTAAATCATACCAATGTAATAGCCAGATTCTCACCGCTAATGGGGAGAAACTGAATATTATTGATACTGATAATCTCTCACTTTCTATCTACCGTGGTACCCCTTTGTATTTACGTAATGTCATATTCGTTCCTAAATTGACTGTTAATCTCATATCTGTGGGTCAACTAGTCGATGATGGTTACAATGTTCAATTTTCTTGTAATGGTTGTGTAATACATGACCAACGTACTGGGAGAGTAAAAGGGAAAGGGTGTAGAATTGGTCGTTTGAAATAGTTGAGGTAGAGATAAATATAGTTGAGGATAGTTTCTAATTTTAATTTATATGGTATATGCTATAGATATCTCTCTTGATAAGACTAGATTAGTTCGTCATTATCAATAACTGATTAGCCGTATAATTATACAGGACTTGTATATTCTTGACGATTAATCGATACACAAAGATTTCCCTAGAGGATTCAGAAATTTAACATGGTATCAAAGCCATGGCTCATCGACTCTTGCTGGAGGCAGAGGTTCGATTCTCAGCCTGTAGAGACTCAACCTTGAGAGAAAAAAGCTTGGTCTCCATTGAGTTGATCTTCAATCGATTTTGAAGCTCTCGAACTGCCATCTCCCTCTCTTTCTCTAAGAACACGAACACA